ATATACTCAGCTAACATAGAACTTGCTATGATTTTCATGCCTCAGCTTCTGTAGTGCTGGCATGATAGAAATGTGCCACCTTGCCTGGTAGACGAGGTTTTTAAAGAACAGCATTAAGTTACAGTTTCACTGGGAAGATAGTTGGCTGAATAAGCCCAGACATGTGACACTGAAAGCCTATCTGCATCAAGAAGCTTTCCATGAAAATGTGACATCAGCTGTGGCACATGGATGATACTGATTTACCATGAATTCGTCAATTATGGACATTATGATTAAAGTACTCACTATTTTACATGAAATTTTGATAGCATTTAAAACTTTTATATTAAGAATTACAAAATAAAACAGAAAGAGGAAACATGAGTCCATCACACAGAAGTTTTAGTCTCTGTACAGTAAGATGATTGTAAAACTTTAAAACGCATGTTGTGGTCCAGCTGAGATTCTTGCTGACCCCTTTCTTCTGATGGGATGCACTGCCCGCATTTTTGCTCCTATGGGAGATGAACTGCATCTCTGAACCTGTGGAAAAGCTCACACTGCAAAGGTCTGTTCAACTCAGATCTGTGTGCTTAAAGGTTTCCAAAAGAGCCTGGCACTTAATAGTGGGAGAAGCACCAACCTGATGGGTTTCCTAAGTGTTTCTTAGAGTTTTAGTCAAAGTGACAATAGGTTGAAATGCTTCAATGGTTTCCCGCTGTTTCTAGAATAAAATGCAAACTCAGAACTGTAATTTACAAAGCACCGCACACTCTGAACCTGACTTGGCCCAGGACTTTCTGCTTTTAACTCTTCTTCCTGACTGCAGAGCGGCTATATCAGTCCTCAGTTTTCTAAACCTGGCGCCTTCTTCGCCACACTTAGTCTGACTCTTTCCTCCATCTGAAATTCTCGTCAGCCAAATCTTGACCAGCCTGACTCATTTTCATCCTTTGAGTCTCAGCTCAAATGTCCATATTTCTGATCTTCCTACCTAAAATCTACCCCCAGCCTCCCTGACACTGCCACAGCACGCTGGTTACATCCCTCGGTGTGTGAGTCAGAACCCGCAGCTATGCTGTTGATTTATGTGTTAACATGTGGAGAGTTTTCCCTCCAATCACATTAGAAGATTTATGGAGCCAGGATTTCTATGTATTTAGCTCAGATGTTTACCCTTGGTGTCTGGACTCGAGAGTGGCCCACTACATTTCAGAAATACCTACTGCAGCGATGGATGTATGTTGGCTGGTGCTTTTCTCCCACTCACTGTTTTCCTCTCATTCTCATCTCAGCACCACTGACCCAGTGCATGGTGTCTGCCTCATGAAGGAACTGAGCTCAGTTCTCCTCAGCTCTTCACCCCACACTCAACTGCAGTACTCCTGGGCCCAGGGATCGCTGTCAGATAGTAAGAAGCTCTCAGGGTCTCAGCCTTCTCTCCCCTAACTGAAATCATCCTATCAAAAGAACTGAGTCAGCTCTAACGGAAATATCAGAGAGAAGAAAAAAGATAAAACTGAAAGATGAGGGGAAATAAAAATAACTTCTCCCACCAAATTATTATGAGAACCTGCCCAAATTTTATTGCAAAATGCCACGAGCAAAAACTTCCTTGGAAAATAAATTAAATAATTATATTTGGTACACATTTTATGGGAGATTAGGTTTTTAAAGGCTGTAGTATAAGATCACGGCATGACCTAATAATTGGGTGCTATCAGTAAATACACAGCAATGTGAGCCAGAGTCAGAGAATCCTATTGCTTAGGACAGAAAAAGTGGCATAAACACCAGGGCCTCTGCTTCAGTGCCTTAAATGAGACATAGTGTTTGCAGGAGGATGCTGAGCTGCATCACACGGAGGACTCTGAGCTTGTGGAATTCGTTGCTTTAGTAGCTGGCAATGAACATGCGCATTCCTTGTCTCACAGGAGACATTATCTCACCTGAAAAGGTTGCTTGCTGTAAGCATGGTTCTGGGAAAAAGTGGAATTGGTGTGTCACGGCCTTACTCTGCTGGCACACTCAATAAGACAGCAGCAAGAGAGCCATCCTGGACTACCTTTCAGTAACATCCACTTAAGTCTCACATTATGTTAGTTGCTACAAATTTGTCATATAACTATATCTTTTCATTAGCCATTCTACTATAAACATGGGTACCCATACATTGCTGTGGTGGGATGTTATTAATTCTTCTGGCAAGATAGATGCCCAGCAGGGGAACAACTGGGTCAATCAGGGCCTCCAGTCCTAGTTTTTTAAGGAATCTCCACATTGACTTCCACAGTGTTTGCACCAGTCTATTCTCCTGCCAACAATGGAGAAGGTTCCTTTTCCCTTCTGCCTTGCCAGCGTTTGTTACTGTTGATTTCTTGGTGATACCATTCTTTCTAGGGTGAAATAAAATCTCATTGTTGTTTTAGTTTGCATCTCTCAAATGACCAATGATGTTGAACCTTTTTTCACATATTTATTTACTGTTTGTATCATTTTGTCTGAAAAATGTATATTCATCTCACATGGCAATTTTTGGATTGAATCTTTAAATTTGAGAAAACCGATTTTTTGAGTTCTTTATATGTTCTGGATATAAAGAACAGCTGGCAAATATTTTGTCCCACATTGCAGGTTGTCTCTTTATTTTGTTGGTCTTTTCTCTTGCTATGCAAAAGCTTTTTAATAAATGAGATCCTGGTTGTTCATAGTTTGTGATTGCTCCTGTGGAATTGGGCTTTTCTTGTAAAGTCTCCCTACACTGTCTTCAACAGTTTTACCTCTTCTATATTCCAGTATATTTATTATTTCTGTTTTAATATTCAGATCGTTTATCCATTCCAAATTTTGCTTAGCACATAGTGAACAATATGAATCCAGTATTAATCTTTGACACATTCAGAGCTGATTTTAATAGCCCTATTTACTAAAGAAACTATCTTCCATCCAGTGAATGTGTTCGGCTTTTTTTTCAAACATAAAGTGGCTTAGTGTGTTTGCAGTTGTTTCTGTATCTTCTAATCTGTTCCATTGATCATTGAGCTTGTTTTTTTTTTTTTTTTTAGTTTGTTTGTTTGTTTTGTTTTGTTTTGGGGGGTTGCTAGGTTTTTTTTTTTTTTATTATCAGTAGCTTTATAGTATATTTTCAGGTCAGGGTATGTGATGTCACCTGTGTTCTTTGTTTCCCTGGATTGCCTTTGCTGTTCTAAGTCTCTTTCTGTTTGAGATGAATTTTATGAATATTTTCTCTAATTCTGTGAGATATGCTGTTGGAATTTTGTTTGGGCTTACATGGATTCTGTATATGAGTATTGGATGTATGACAATTTTCACTATGTTGTTTCTTCCTACCCAAAAGCATGGGATATCTCTCTATTTTCTAATATCTGCTTCAATCTCCTTTTCATATTACTGTAATTTTTAGTGTAGAGTTCTCTTAAATCTTTCATTAAATTGATTTATTGGTATTTCATTTTTTGAATGCTATTGTGAAAAGTATTGATTCCCTGACTTTGCTTTCAATGAGTTTATTATTCATGTACAGAAAGGCTATTGATTTTTGAGTGTTGACTTTGTAACCAGCTGTATTACTTAATTTGCTTGTTAAATCTAGAAGTCTTTTGGTGGAGTTTTTGGAGTCTTCTAAGTAGAGTATCATATCATCTGCAAACAATGATAGTTTAACTTCTTCCTTTCCTACTTATTCCCTTTATTTCTTTTTCTTATCTAATTGTGCTGGATAATATCTCCAGGCCTATGTTGAATAAGAGCATAGACAATGGACATCCTTGTCTTTTTCCTGATTTTAGGATGAAAGCTTTCCATTTCTGGGCATTTAGTATGATGCAGGCTCATCAGCCATTTTGATTTATCTAGCAAATGATGAGACAAATACACTGAGTTTATCTGAAGCAGAATTAATTAAAGCTGCTTCTGCAGAATTCTAAGCAGAAGCATAAAAGCATCACGCAGTAATAACCAAAATCCTATCTCCTGTAATCTGCGTCAAAGGTATGCGAGAAATCTCAGAGTGAAGACAATTAGTATACGCAGTTTTATGCATTGTAGCCCACATAGGAGTTGGAACTCACATGCTATTCTTTGGTTTATCAAAGAGAGACCACAGATCCACTATTATTCCCAAAAGAGAGATATTCCGTGTTCTATTTCCCCAGACCTGAAGGGAATTTTAATTCTGTTTTGGAGTTAGTGTGAAACTACTTACTTTGGCATTGCACCACTTTGTTAAGATATACTATAGACAAGGAGACAATATAGAAACCATTGTTCATTTTCTGTTAGTTGGTTCTAAATACCCTGTAATACTTTCATTCTCTTGAATGGTTTTACACTGTCATGTTGTGTTTGGTGCTATAATATAGGAAGTTATACTCAAATATTTCAAGGAAAAAGACACTATGGTAGCTACAGTCATGTCAGGTTATCTTGTGGTGAAACACTATGTTGCTTAAACTGTTCTGCTCTGACCTGTGTTATTATGTTGTTATGTCCTATTTTATCTCAATCTACCTCTTTTATAATTTTTAATTAAAAAGATACACTATCAGTTTTGAGTATTGGAAACTTTTTTTTTTTTTGTATTGAGGAAAGAAAGATTCTAAGAGAGAAAGAGGGGTCATGAGTGAGTGGCCCAATTTGCAAGCTTTACATGCATTCATAGACTAGCCCAGCACTACTCAGGCATAATGGGAAATGTATGTGTATCCAAAAATGGAGATTGACTTGGAACAAATACTTCTTAATTGTTCTTAAGTAAAGTGTTTGTGTTTGTATTTAACAGTTCCCATTGGGGGCATTTTCCATATTTTATCTGCAACTCTTCTGAATCCACAAGATGGCAGCATCTTGTCAGGTACCCTGAGGATGGTTTCACCTGTTTCTCTAATACTGTGTGTGTGTGTGTGTGTGTGTGTGTGTGTGTGTGTGCATGAGACAGAGAGAAAAAGAAGAAAGAGGGAGAGAGAGAGAATGAGATAGAGGTGATGAGACACATACAGAGAGAAGAGAGAGAGAGAGAGAGAGAGAGAGAGAGAGAGAGAGAGAGAGAGAGAGAGAGGAAAGAGATCAGAGGAGGGGTCTAGTGTAGCTGGATGACTAAGGAAACATCTTCTAATTTTGAGAACAGACACTTATATTCTTTGTTTCCTACAGCAAAAGAATCAAAAGTATTAGAAGAAACTTTTTAGAGTTTAACACCTGAATCCTCAGTGAAGAAGAGCAGAACAATGGGATCCTTCAATGTTTTCCTAGTGATCCTATGGCTTCAGTTCATCTGTGAGTAGGGTCATTTCTTTGGGAACTTTCAAGTACAGTATGTAAAACTGTCATATGTACCAGGACTGTGGGATGATTATGAATGTGATCAATCTGCTGAAAAACGGAGACTGGAAAAACACTGAAGAGATACATTTTATCCTAGAGAGTATGCCTCTGCTCCTCAGTCAATCTGCTTTGCCTGTTGTCTTTTTGCATAGGGGTGAGCAGCCAGCAGAAGGACGTGGAGCAGAGTCCTGAGACCCTCAGTGTTCCAGAGGGAGACACCGCAGATCTCAACTGCACTTACAGGGACAGCAATTCTAACAACTTCAGGTGGTACCGACAGTACCCTGGGAAAGGCCCTGAGCTGCTGATATCCATATTCTCCAATGGTGACCAAGAAGAAGGAAGATTTAAAGCACAGCTCAACAGAGCCAACCGACGTGTTTCTCTGCACATCGGGGCCTCCCTGTTCCCTGACTCAGCCACCTACTTCTGTGCAGTGAGGCCACAGTGCTCCCCAGACACCTGCAGCCTGCACTGAAACCCATACAAGCCTGAGGCAGAGACTACAGGGCAAGAGAAGTCCTCTTCCTGCTCCAGAAGCACTGGGGGTTATGAGCAATAGTGTGGGGTTACCTCTGGTGCTAAGGAAACTATTTTAATAATTCTGTGAATACTCACCTTTAAAGGGAAAATGTAGGCAAATATTAGTCTGGTGCAGATAGTTTTTAGTTTTCTATTGTTATTCTAAAATTTTTTATTGACGTGTGGACAAACAGCTACACATATTTAATGTGTATCTTTAGAAGACTGAAGCTAAATAGACAGCCATGAAATTGTCATCATGTAGATAGAACCATTTCCCTACAAGTTTCACTCTTCTTTCTTGTTTAAAACTGATATACGATTGTTACACAGAAAGGTACACACAGGGCATGCATCTTGATATGGACTCTAGCTTTACATCACAACTTCATTCAAAGGATTACTGGGTGATTTTTTTTATATATGAAGGAAAATGTTTTAATATGACATATTTCCTTATAGGTAATACACTTTTCTCTTTTCTACTCAGTTGCTATACCAGTTTTATACACTGCCTTTGGAATGAATTCACAAAGTAGAAATCTAAAGAGAAGAAAAAAGTCAAAAAACAATTTTCAAAAATGTTAAGTCATAAATTCTTTTATTACAGATCTCCCACTTCATCTCCACTCTCAGCTCCACCCTCAGCCGTGGGTTAGGTAAGGACACCTCGGGTGGGCAGAAGGAAGGGTCCTAGAATTAGATGCTGAGAACTGGTGAAAACTGGAATGCTCAGGACTCTTTTCAGAGATTTAAAATTAGAGAGGCTCCAGGGTCCTGCTCTTGAGTCCTGGTTGAGCGGGTCCCAGAGTTTCTGGCCTGAGTCTTGATTCCTGGCCCTGGTGTGTCACTGGAGAACATCAGCCAGGGCCACACGGAGATCCACAGTGCGGGAGAGCATGAGGGCACAGACTGCAGACCTCTTAGAATCTCTGAGAAAGTGTCTGGAGTAGCTCTAGATATCAGGGGATTCTGTTCTGTTGACTGGAGACCTGCTTAGAGGAGCTAAGGTAGACTATATGGTACTGAGAGCCTTCTAGAAAATGTTCATGAGGACAGCTGGAGATGCTGAGGCTATCTGTTTGTCACTTAGCCTCGCCCCTCTGATTTTTGGGCAATATGTATTTGCCCTCCCGCTTCCATGAGCTCAGGAAATAATGTTTGTTGCCTGATGCAAACAAGATCTTATAAAAGATATTAAACTGAGTTGTAGGAGACAAAAATAAAGCTGCAGTGACTGTGAAGCTGGTGTGGAGGTATGTTAGTCTGATGCTGTCTGTGTAACAGTCCATTTGTCTAAAGATCATGGAACTGGAAAATTAAGATTTAGTGGTTCAGCCCAATCAGGGCTAACTTCAATTGTTCAGTATAGAAATTTGAAGATTCTTAAATATTTATTTCTAAGTTTTGGAAAAGACTTGAAGTTTGATATACTGCAGTGAAGACTTGAAGGGAAATGAGGAAGAAGAGATGTTTATGCTCGAGCCAAGATATTTATCTTTCAGTTCCACTTTTCTTAAGTGCATTTTAATCATAATGGTATTATGGAAGAAACCAAGGTGGTGATACGGGTTTCAACAAGTGTCATATTATTCATGCCATTTATTGATTATTTATTTATTTATCTTTCAAGTCAAGGTCTCACACTATAGTGTGGCCTATAACTCACTCTGTCACCCAGATTGGATCCTCCTGCCTGAGCCTCCCCAGTGCTGAGATTACAGGTGTGCTCCACCATACCTGGCAAGCCATTTGATCTTGGGTGGTACTATTATACATATATTTAAGGATTGGTTTCACACATAAATGAAGCAATACATTGACATAGGTTTAGTTCCTTAAACAAGCTCTAAAACTGAAATCCTTTTGCCCATGATATATCAAGGAAAACAGGTTGAGGCAGGACATGGCTAAGTACAAAGTTTACCAGTTTAGGCTGCCTTTGCAGCTCTCTGCAATGCATCTGCAGGAGGAGGCAATGCTGTTCAGAGGGGCAGAGCAGGTAAGCTCCTGGGGTGCAGGCTCAGCTCCCAGGTCAGGGTGAAAGTCTGAGGGTTTCAGGTGGGGAGAGTAAGTTTGGCAGAGAGCGGGACATGAGGAGGGAGCAGAGAAAGCGCGAGCATAAGGGACTTCCTGCCATTTGCCATTTCTCTGCAAGTCTTGAAGAATTTGGAAATCAAACTTGCCAAATCAGGTCATTGGCTGTCATTATGCCAAGCTGTGGAACCAAATATCCTCATTTAAACTGAGGGATGAAAGATTTTTTAAGACACAGCCCAAATGGGTATCTGCTGGAATCTGAGAAATTTTGGAGCCCAGAGTGACTGACAAGAGAATGGCCAGGAATCCATAGTCTTGTGTAGGGGCATCCCTCAAACAGGACTGGGGACCTGGAGATTTTCTAGTGTATGTGGCCTGGCCACATGAAAGAAGGTTTTTCTGATGGATGGGGGAAATGTTCCTGCTCCAGTTTCTGTGGGAGTTTACCACAGAACCCAACCCTGTGGGACCCCACTCTCCCACAGGTTTGGGATGGATTAGTGCTTCCCAAATGCCTGGGGAAGGGAGGGGGAATCTTACCAGTCTGGCTGGATCATGAAGTGTCAAATATTGAGTGGAGGGCTAACAGGAAACAACAAAGGACTTGCTGGAGTCATGAGGAACAGAAGGACAAAGGAAGAGAAAGAGAGAGAGAGGGAGAGAGACAGAGAGAGAGAAAGAGAGAGAGAGAGAGAGAGAGAGAGAGAGAGAGAGAGGACAAAGGAGGTAACAGAAGGAAGAGGTAGAGGACACTGGAGCAGTCCCCTTGACCATTTTTCCTTTAGGAGCCACCAAAATGTTAGGGAAACAGGAGAAAAGAAACAAAGGTCTGAACGCTGCAGGAGTGCTTTATTTCGGAACATACCTGAGAGGGACTCCTCTGTCACTAGAGACCAGACCAGTGGCTCTTCACTGGAGTAAGTGCAGTGAGGGGAGGAGTGGCTGCCGGCCAAGGCTGAGGCTTCGGTAAGGGTTCACCAAGGACAGGGACTGGGAAGCACAGTGAGTAGCACTGCTGTCTATCAGGGGCAGGCCTAAGTAATAATAGGGGCCCTAGGGGCTCTGCTCAGCCTCCGGTGGAGCTGTCAGAGTCCTTCAGGCTGATCCTGGGCTAACAGAGCACCAGTGTGGAGCAGAATTTCCCTTCTCTGCTCCTTGCTTCATGGAAAACAACTTGTGTTGCTTTATGAATGTCTTAGACTTTGCCAGTGGTATATAACTGTCAGCTTCTGGACCAAATTCCTGCATTAGGGGATTCCTGATCAAGATGACGGTATAAGAGCAGCTGGGTGATCTGTCCATTAGAAAATTTTGATGACACACATACTGGACCCTGGAGTAAATTATAGTAAGAGCTAACCAAACTAAGTTAATATTAATTGTGTCAAAACTATTTAGCATAAATCTTTTACAGCTGAAGCTTGTTTTTAGGTTCAGCTGATTTTAGTTATGGCCGCTGCTCTCCAATGCACAGCACCGTTCCTCAGATCCTTGGAAGAAAATACACTTGACTGCACATGTGGTTTATGGTATCTCAGTGTTGACTTTGTATCCAGCCAAATTTTTTAATAAATTATTAAATCTGGACATCTTGAGTCTGGGAACCAGTGCCATGCATGGGCCCCAACTGGACTGAAACAGGCAGATCCAGCCTCTCCCCATGAGTCAGCACCATTTGTGGACCAGGAGATTGACAGAGCAAAGCCACACCAGCAAGCAAGCCCAGTCTGGGAACCAGTGCCACACATTAGCAACCACTGGACTGGGACAAATGGTAGACAGGATGGCAAACAAGATGTACCAACTCCTCCCCTGCCCAGCACCATAACCAATCAACTTATCCAGAGAAACACAGGTTGTGATAATAGCAATGGATGTAAAACACAATTGGATGTCTGTGGTACTTTGGTGTTCCACTAACACTGAGGGTCTATAGCCAGTGGTCTGGTCATAGGTTCAGAGGATATTGTTATACAGTGTGACATCTAGTGGGGGATCTCCTTCTGAGTTTTGCAGCCATTGTTTATTCCCAATGGTCTTGTTTTGGGATTCCTACATCATTTTCATTGTTTTGTTGGCTTGGGTTTTATTCTCCTTTGTTTTGTTTGATTATGTCAAATTGGATGGCAGGAGCAGCTATTTCAAAGATAGCAAGATACATTATGGTAGTAATTTTGGATTTCCTATAGGCTTGTTTTGTAATCCTTTATTGCATTTATTGTTTTCTTTTTATTGATTCTATTCTGTTCTGTTCTGTTTGATTTTTACAATGTCTGAAGTTATCTTCAGCTATTTTGAAAACATCAAAAGACATTATGGTTTACATTGTTGATTTTCTAATGTTTTGAAGTCCTGTAACTCTTACACTGGTTTGTTTTGATTGGTTTTATTCTGTTTTATCATCTTTAAAATAAAAAAAAATGTGGGACATCTTTTGGCAGAACCTTTGGGTCTTTCTTAGTGTCACGTCATCTGCAAATAATGAGAATTATTAACTCTTGCTGTCCTATATTTGTCCCTTTTGTTTATTTCTCTTGTCTAATTGCTCTAGCTAATGTTTCTAGAACTATATTGAATAGGGTTGATGATAATGTACACCTTTTTCTTGTTCCTAATTTTAGAGTGGAAGCTTCCATTTTTTGTTTGTTTAGTATGCTGTTGACTATTGATTTGTCATACATGCTTTTTAAGAGACGGAGACAAAGATCATCTATTCCAATCTTCTGAAAGGGTTTTATAATGAATGAGTTTTGGATTTTGTCAGAAGCTTTGTCTTCATCTATTGCTATGATCATGTGATTTTTTGTCTTACTCCCAGCAATGCACCTCTTCAAATTAAGCCTCACTTCTAACAGTGCACATAGCTGTGAACTTGTCAATGGGCTAATACTCAGATGAGTGCACCACTCCCATAATCCCGCCACTTTCCAAAGCCCAACGT